GATTTTACCCAACAACATGGCCTCAGGTATGAGATGAAAGATGGATTTGAAGAAAGCTTTTCATTGGACATCTGGGTTAGCTTTTTTTGATAATGTTCATTTGTTTCTGAGGCAGATATTCGGTCCCTTGTAATTATATAATTACTTTCAGCAGGAATAGTAAAAGGAACATGTAAACTATAAGCCAGGAATAACATGAAATATAATTTAATAGTCATTTTATATTGGCAGACAGGATCCTAATGATTCATTTCTAATGATAAGTTAAATGGAAATTACACAGAATAAACGGGATTTATTTTTGAAGTATAGAGTGATTGTGAAGGCCGAATGTATGCCAATTCAAGTTTATCTGTTTCTCTCCATTCTTTGCACATATTTTCACTTTCTCATTTTCCTGTGGACCATATCTGCAAGTTGAAGACTTGACATCACTGAGCAGAGCCTGACAGAGTGTTTTATATCTTCAATTGTTGTCAGTCTACATTCTCATGCCTTGGGAAACAGAGGGCCATTGTGCATACATATTCAATTCTCAATTCCTAATTTCCCTAACATTGCCATCCTTTGATTTATATGATGTCTATAGATGGTTGGCCAAAGTAATTTGAATCAGAGATGTATGAGATACTATATAACCATAGTGCTTGCAATCATTACAGTAATGAGTCTATATAAAAGCACAAGATTTGAAATATATGTTTTTTAATGACTAAAACAAAGTAAACTACAATTGCCTTATAGCTATATAATTAGCAGAACTGTTAGGAGTGACTGAATATAAACCTAATTTGCTTACATGTGTGAACATGTGAGTATGTAATCACCACTGGTAACTGGCCAAAGAAAAAGTCATAAAAATTAAGTATTTGTTTTCTTGGCAAACTTATTCATTAATTTAATGCATAGTTATTTAACACATACTATATTTAAAGCCCTGAGGACAGTGAATACAGTAGGCATATTCTTTACTTTTTTTTTTCATTTTAACTAGGGAGATAGGCATTAACACTAAAACATGTATTATTCTATAGTAGCTGTAAAAATTGCATCTCTGTAGGAGTACAAGATGCCCAAAGACTAGAAAATAGGGTGCTGCTTAAAGATTATAGGATAAGAGAAAAATTAAGGGGAGAAAGTTTATGAAGAATGTTCTAGACAAATGGGATAGACAGAACGCAAGGCTTAATGCAAGACAATGTGAACTCTAAGACTCATGGTGGAATTGTGGACCTAAAAGGGCATTAGAATTAGAGTCTAATCACTTAATATGGCGGGCAAGTCCCTATCTCGCTACCCTCATCTCATTTTATAAATTTCTACTCTTGTCCTAGAGTCATGACATATTGGTGGTAAATTGAGCCACATGATTGTTGAAATTATCTAGGAATGGTAAAAATAAAACTGGGTTAATAAAAAAACCTTGAGAACTTTTAACACTCCATGTTTAGGTAGAGAAGGATACTCCAACAAAGGAGACTAAGAATAAGAACCCAGAATGGTAGGAGGATCATCAGAGCCCAAGGAGGAGAAGTGACCATACATGTTAGATGCTGCTGAGAGGTAAAACAAAATGATGTCTGGTGGGTTCCTGTCCAGACTGAAGTTTTTGAACTGGGTAGAGAAGAAAGGGAACAGAGCAAGGAACTGGTGAAAGTAGAGAAAGTAGAGAGATCAGTTGATCCCAGATCCCGGTGAGGTCCAAGAATAATCTGGGTATTTGGAATCGTGGAAAAAGTAGTCTTGGAGATGAGAGATTTGGCTGGAGTGGAAAAAACAAACGTGAAGATAGGAGATGAAAGAGGACAACACTAATTTGGGAGGTGGAACTGTTTCAGGTAAAGACAGACTTCAGATGTAATTCCAGAAGTGAAAGCCTGAGGTAGAGAAATGAAAAATTCGTTTGTAATGAGGAGATGCAGCTGAGGTGTTGAATGAGATGTTTGAATCAATGTGACCTCAACCAGGAGTATGGCTACGCAGGAGCTAGAAGGAGTAGCAACAATCCAGGTATGGAGGAGGCATGTTGCCTAGAGATTAGTAGATATATGATACCAACAAGAAAGGAGATGGTGCAAGCTAGATAGCAGGAATATCAACACAGCAAGGACCTTTTGCAAGGAGGTAGGGATGCAATAGACAGTACTCCGGACAAGGAGATCACTCACCTGAGGGTAACAGGGATGTGGAGGAATAAGCAGTCATTATCCTTCACAGGACAAGCAGTGTCTTCAAAGGAGAATGGGATTTTAGACAGGGTAGGAAGGAAGAAACAATGTTCTGAAAGGAAGTTGGATATGTAGTGAAGTTTACAAACCACAAAGCACAATTCTCAAGGAACAGTGGAAAAATTTGAGAGGTAGGAAAGAGGAGAAGGGAAAAAGAGAGTTGGGAGCTAGTGGGGGTGGAGTGGACGTTGGGCAGTGAAGATGGAAGATGGTGGGAATTTTATTGTAGCATAGAACGAATGCCTGGGTATGATGTGGGGACTCAGGAGGTTGGAAGGAGGGGTTGAACAACTAAACAGGGAAGAGAGGTCAGTGTCAACTCAAGAGACCTCTACCTCCCTTTAGATTATAACCTGGGAACAAAAGCCTGGATATAAACAGGAAAACTAAGGAGAGGTTGGAAAGCCTAACAGGGCTTGACCAGAGGAGACTCCGGTGTGGGAACTGCCTCTGGGAGAATGAGGTTCTCAATTACTAAAACACTAATAGGTTTATAAAATATCCAATCTGCTCAAGGTTTGCACCAGAAAGCATGGGACCTTTGCCATACCTGACCTATTGTGACCAATTGATTTTTTGTTTTTCTCCTCAGGCTTTCATGACAAAAGTTTTCAGGTTTAAGGACTTTAAAAAAAATTCAGTTTGTTTGTTTATTTATTCTTATTTATTTATTTATTTTGCAGTCTGTATTTACTATAACATACATAATTTGCATGAATTCTTAAATGTTCTCTCAATTTTTTAATGATTATCAGTGAATTTGGTAGTAAAAACCATAAAGCTGCATTCCTTCTTTAACCTGTTTTATATTACTCAGTACTGAGAGACTATGATTCAATACTCATCTAATAACTTGAAATAATACTATGTTTTCCAAAGGTATCTAATTAAAAATCAGGAGAGTAGTTAGATGCTGGTAAACTATGCTTCTTTCCAAAAACAATGTGATAATACGGGCCTAACAATCAATTGAAAAATTCATGCGGAGTGAATTTCTTCTGTTTTTTTGTGGCTATGGATGATCTAAGTGTATGCAAGTGTGCTGGTTTGGTTCTAGTTAATTTCAACTTTCGAATGCTTATCTTTTGAGCTGTCTCTGGTAGTATCATCAGGATTCCTTCTTTTGTCATTAGAAAAAGAATTTCAGAATAATTTACAAATGACTTAGACGACACTCTGTTTTAATTTTCTGTTGAAACAGTTTAAGAAATTGTGTTTGGACAACTCCGTGTCATATTTATATTTGCAATCTCCTACCACACCCGTGTCTGGGATGGAGGTTGAATGTGTCAGTTATCTATCAGCCTACAATACTGCTTGACTACCAGAAAAACTTAATGGCATACAGCCAAGGCCACATTTATTTAGTTCATGAGGCTGTGGGGTTCAGTTGACCCGAGCTGGTCTCAGGTTGTGTAGGCTATTTTCACTCAACTGTCTGGGGCTCCTCTGGCTGTTGGTTTCTCAGCTTGAACAACTGGAGTGACCTACCTCTACTCCATCTTGTGCTCAACCTCCAGCCAGCTAGTCTACGCATGCTCTCATGACATAGTTGAAGTTGTGCAAGCATCTTCCAAGACTTCGTATCAATATCCTGATAGTCCAGAAGAAGTCACACATATAATACAAAAGTCAGAGTGGGAGGACCCTGAAAAATTACACAGAAAGGCATGGACGCAGAGAGGATGAAGAGTAGGGCCATCAGTCCACCACATTAAAAGACTCAAGGAATCAATCATAGAATGAAGTAAAGAACACTGTACTGTCTGGAGACATTTTATAAGACAGCACTGTTCATTTCATTAGTGTAGGTGAGTTATTTAGTGATTCTGGACTCTAATTGCCTTACTGGCCCTTTACAAGCTTTCAAGGTCTTCATTTCACAAAGTTATACTTTTAAAGAATGTAATGCTATACACAGTCTGTAGAAAGAACTTACGAGGAAAGTTTTCATTATCCTGTTCTTTTTTAGCCAAATGGTGAGCCTGGGTGGTCAAAATTGATTGGTTTTGACTACAAATCTTCAAATATTTTATAACATTCAAACGGATAAACTTCTTGTCTGAACTTGGGTATAAGTGCTGAAAGTTTAATTTCCTACGGAGGTCTTCAGTTTTTTTGCTCTCATCTGATGATTCTTTGAAGCATACGATGTGTCAGTATAACGTCAAACCATGTGACATCTCTTACATGTGAGATGAGTTACAGGGGCTATTGATGTCGTGTCTTAATAATTCATTGTTATGATGAATTATCATTCTTAAATTGACTAGAGAAGCTTTGTCAAGTTTGCATAATACTGATAAAAATGTGGGTGTCTTGAGTAGAGGTTATGATTTGTTTTATATGAAGAGAACAGATAATACAGAAATGAAAGCTGCTTTTCGTTGTATAATATATAATTATGTAATATATAAATGGTGTATTATTTAATTATAAGAATAAAACTGAGTAAAAATGTTCTAAGTGAAAAATATTTTATAAGTTTCACAAGAAAAAATATCTATAAATGGTTTTTGAAGATGATTTTCTGTGTCTAAATGACTTCTTATTCTAGTAGCTTAACGCAACAATTTCACAGCTAGATTGCCAAAATATATTGATGAACATATAAATTATAAATTGCTTTGACATGTCAAATGTTCTGTTTCAGTCATACAGAAATGACTTGCCATATAATAAATAATTATCCTTGTCCTATCTCTATGAAGCATTTATTTTGGACTGATAATTTACTCACAAAATCAATCACTCCAGCCTCTGTCATTTCAGAGTCACCATGTAGGCATATCCAAGAAACTTCATTCAAATCAAGCTGGCCTGGAATCAAAAGCACCAGTTGGTTGTCAGAATGATTTGGCTGATGTGGACAGAGAGAGGAGCAACCATGGAGCCACAGCAGTGACAGGCACCAATGTGACTACAGGTCAGTTGAGACACATGAGAATGGTTTTAACTGCCTACATGACAAAGGCACAACAGACAGATTCTTTTTTTATTTTACTTTTTTTGAGTTGGAGTCTCACTCTGTCGCCCAGACTGGAGTGCAGTGGCCGCTCCCGGCCACCGCAGCCTCGACCTGCTGGGCTCCAGTGATCCTTCCGCCTCAGCCTTCCAAGTAGCTGGA